TACAGGTACTCACGAGAACTGGCCTTGTGTAAATGACAGGAGTCAAAAGCCTGAGACTCGGAGGGCTGGAGTGATTTGCCCAAACATACCCAGATTAGCCGATCAGCTGTGAAACTGGCCCTGGGACTAGACAGCCCTCCCTCTCAAAGGGGCAGAGCTTGCTGCTGGATTCAGCTGAGGCTGGAGACAGGAAACGTGAACTGGGTCTTGGCCTCTGGGTAGAGCTTTTCTCTCTCTGGCTCCACCTTCCTTTCCTGTGGTATGGACAGAAGGAGCATGAGGAGCATTCGGTGTGGTTCAAACTCTAGCCTGGGTGTGTCAATGAGCACAGACTTGGGTGAGGCAATTTATCAGTCTCTGCGGGGGCTACAGCCGTCTGACTCCTGGAGGAGCGTGGAACTTAAGGAGGAACGGCTTCACAGCTGACCTCTCTTCTTGCTTTGTCTTCCAAGTGTCGGTGGTGTTACCCATGCTGGTTTACAAGCATGATCTCTCCAGGGGGAGGAAGCCAGCCCAGTGTGCGATTCTGACTGAATTCCATTACAGTCTCTACCTCAGGGTCTGGCGATTCCTTAGAGGAGACAGAGATGAGAAGTCCTGCCCGCCCACAGCTGAGTAGCTGTTGGCATTTGATTGCTGCTGAGTGAGTGAAAATGGAGTAACACCAGGATGCTGACCACACTCCAGGGCTGGCCTCATGCCCAGGAGTAGTGCCCAACATAAACTGGACGCCATGGTTTGGTTTGTCTTTTTGTTTTTAAAGAGAGAGAAGGAAGAAGGGAAAAAGAGCAAAAACCTGAAGCTGGATAGGTAGGGAGGTAGGGAAGTATCTGGGACGAGTTAGGGAAGGGGCCTGAATATAATCAGAATACTGTGTATGAAATTCTCCAAGATAATGAAAAACTTTGTGTCTAAAAACTAGACTATAAGGTAAATTTAGTAACGATTATTGCCTCACTTAAGACTCTCTCAGCCAGGTCTAGTGGGGCACATCAATATTTCCATCACTCAGAGACTGAGAAAGGAGAATTGAAGTTTAAAGCTACGCTGGGCAGCCAGGGAGACCACGTCTAAAGCAAACAAACAGAAGGACTTTCTTAACTGCAAGTGACCAAAAATAGAAACCAAACATGAGGTCATACGGGTGAGTAGGTGTAGGGAGAGACCGCCTTCCGGTGGAGCCTGGTGGGCTCATGCGTCCAAAGACTCGGTTCTTTCCATCTCTCAGCTCAGCTTTGACCTCCCTGAGGGGGGGTTCTGGAGGCCATCCGAGCCTCCCTGCCTTTCTGTCAGAACCCGGCTGTCAAGTCTCCTTGGCCACAGTTGAGGCACAAGGTCCATCCTGTACTCATGACCCTAAAAACTGTCTATGACTTGAGCAGCTGGAAAACAGCTCACAGGGCTGTCTTCTCCCACCCAAACCATAAGGGCTGAGCACCGAGCCAGGAAGGTTCTCAAAGGAAATTTGAGGGGTCGGGTAAGGGGCAGGGTACCCCAGCCATAACCTGTAACAGGTGGGAACTGAGGGATGCTGGGAGAACCTGGTGGCCAAGTCCGCCTTGATATGTTACCTAGGCACCTCGTGATTTGTCTCAGGGTTTGAGACTTAACATATCCCTTTACAGGGAACTCTAGTTTGCTTTGTGGTTATTTTGTTTTGTTTTACTAAAGAGAAGATATATATTCTTTTTATCCTTCTTCTCTTTCTTGGAAAAATGGGAGCATCCTGTTCATCTTGTTCTTTAATTTAAAAAAATTACTTATTTTATGCTTGTGTGTTTGTGTGTGGGGGTGGTAGTGTGGAGGATGGGGGTGGGGAAGGGCTGGAAGTGTGCCATGGCACATACATGTGGCAGTCAGAGGATGATCTGTGGGAGTCTGTCCTCTCTGTCCACCATGTGGGTTCTGGGGACTGAACTCAGGCCACCAGGCTTGGCTTCAGGAGTCTTTACCTGTGAGCCATTTTGCTGGCTCCCACCTTGTTCTTTCTACTTGATCATATTTCTTGGAGAATACAGTGGTTTATGAAGACAGCCTTGTTTCTTCATTTCTTTACTCAGTTACACAGTGTTTTGTTGCTTAATTTACTTAGTCCCTTACCAATGGGTACTTGGGTTGTTTCCTGAATTTGCTACTCCACAAGGTCCTGCCTTGTGTGTGTTTTTCTGTTTTTTTTTTTTTAAACGCGTGGGACTAGATAAATTGTCAGCTGAAGTGTAGATGTGTATGTAAATTTGCTAAACATTGCCAAATTTCTCTAAGCATCACACCATTTTGTAGTCCCTCCAGCAGCATACAAAAGGGTCCTTGCCCTGTGGTGGAATGAGCATAATGTCAAACTCTCGGACAATCTAAAAGGTCTCTTACTGTATATAGTTTCAATTTGTATTTCTCTGAATAAGAGCAAGGCAAACACTGCATTTTGTTTTTTTACAAAATTGAGAGTATTTATATTTAATATGTAAATTATTCATTTTTCAAGCTTCCCCCTTTTTACAGGACTTTTTTTTCTTTAACTTTTAGAAATCCTTTAGTGTTGGGGAAAATAAATAACTCTGTCTCTATATCGCTACAAATATTTTCCCTGTTATTTCTTCTATTTTTCTGCTTTGTGTACTAAGATCATGTGTGGAATATATGTGTTAACAGTTAAATTTATCTGCCTTTTCTTACTCCAAGGTCCCAGAAGAACTTGCTCCCCACTCCTCTTCTTTCTGTACGGGCTGGGTCAAGCTAGAGTCATCAGAGAGGAAGGATCCTCAGTTGAGGAAATGCCTCCATGGGATCCAGCTGTAAGGCATTTTCTCAATTAGAGATCAACGGGGGTGGGCCCAGGCCATGGTGGGTGCTGCCATCCCTGGCCTTGTAGTCCTGGGTTCTATAAGAAAGCAGGCTGAGCAAGCCACAGAGAACAAGCCAGTAAGCAGCACCCTTCCATGGCCTCTGCATCAGCTCCTGCATTCATGTGCCTGCCCTGCTTGAGTTCCTGTCCTGGCTTTCTTTTGGCAATGAACAGCAATGTAAAAGTGTAAGCTGAATAAACCCTTTCCTCCACAACTTGCTTTCTGCAGCAATAGAAACCCTAAGTAAGACTTTTTTTTTTTTTTTTTTTTGAACAGGATCTCACTGTGTATCTCTGGCTGTATTGAATTCACTATGTAGACCAAGCTGGATTGAACTCACAGAGATCTGCCTGCCCCTGCCTCCCAAGTGCTGGGATTAATGGCATGGGCCACCATGCCTAGCCTCTGGCCATGCTCTTTTTGAGTACTTACTTACTTCATTTTAGATGAGTAGGTTCATAATCCATTCAGAATTTGTCCCACTGTGTGGATGGGAGTGGCTCCAGTCCCCACCTCCATGTCATCCACGAGGCTGGCTCTGCGATTGTGGTTTAGACACTAACAGGGTGGCCGGAACAGTTTCTGATGGGTGTCCCATGACTTCAGGTTTAGGGAATCAAGGATGAAGTCATTGAATCCAACTGAGGCAGAATACAGGGCAGGTTCATTTTAACACACAGTATCATGATTCCTTTCACCTAGCTCAGTTCATTTTATTCATTTCATAGGCAAATTAACCGGTAAATCAAAAAATAATCTCTCACTATGCATGATTAAAGTGGTCACCAATACATGGCACCATCTATCATCCGTTCATCCTTCTGGCAAAGCGGTACCCCAAATTTCCTTTGAGAACCTTCCTGGCTCGGTGCTCAGCCCTTATGGTTTGTGTGGGAGAAGACAGCCCTGTGAGCTGTTTTCCAGCTGCTCAAGTCATAGACAGTTTTTAGGGTCATGAGTACAGGATGGACCTTGTGCCTCAACTGTGGCCAAGGAGACTTGACAGCCGGGTTCTGACAGAAAGGCAGGGAGGCTCGGATGGCCTCCAGAACCCCCCCTCAGGGAGGTCAAAGCTGAGCTGAGAGATGGAAAGAACCGAGTCTTTGGACGCATGAGCCCACCAGGCTCCACCGGAAGGCGGCCTCTCCCTACACCTACTCACCCGTATGACCTCATGTTTGGTTTCTATTTTTGGTCACTTGCAGTTAAGAAAGTCCTTCTGTTTGTTTGCTTTAGACGTGGTCTCCCTGGCTGCCCAGCGTAGCTTTAAACTTCAATTCTCCTTTCTCAGTCTCTGAGTGATGGAAATATTGATGTGCCCCACTAGACATGGCTGAGAGAGTCTTAAGTGAGGCAATAATCGTTACTAAATTTACCTTATAGTCTAGTTTTTAGACACAAAGTTTTTCATTATCTTGGAGAATTTCATACACAGTATTCTGATTATATTCAGGCCCCTTCCCTAACTCGTCCCAGATACTTCCCTACCTCCCTACCTATCCAGCTTCAGGTTTTTGCTCTTTCTCCCTTCTTCCTTCTCTCTCTTTAAAAACAAAAAGACAAACCAAACCATGGC